AAGACTTCAAAGTATATTACAATTACAAAAGGCTCGAAAGGTGCGCATGGGTAAGTCAGATCGAATTAGACGGATCCACCCCCGGCGGGCGGGGCGTAATTCAGAAAAGCGGTACATGATGAAAAAATTCATAACTCGGTTAGGTGGAAGCCGATAGAACAGAAAAAATCTGTGTAGCGGAGCAATGTCTTAGGTGTTCCCAGCATACATGTGGAGGCTCGCCCACAATAGGCGGAGCGTGCCCTGGAATACACATCGTTTCCTACGAGTTTCCATAACTCTGTCCCAAGAAGACCTGGAGAGGGAAAAAGTGGGTTAGAGGCCAGCGAGGGAAATGAACTTAACTACCATTGGTGGGTGAGGCTTGTTCCAATGTGTGCAGAGTTCGTCAACAGACTTATCTCTCTGTTCCAGGCACTTTCAAAGATCGGAGAGAAGTGGGTAGAGGCTGGCGAAGAGAAGGAAGTAAACTCCCACTTGTGGGCGGAGCATGCGTTAAAGTGGCGCGGTTTGCCCCCAAGCATACATACTGCCTCAAAAACAGTTCAAAGACCGGCAAAGCCGTAGAGGAGATTGGCGAAAAAGAAAAGGGTGGGTGGGACATGCAAAGAAATAAGCGGAGTTCATCACAAATTTTATAGAGGCAGTCCGGAGAGCCGGATAAAAGCGGACAATGGTTGACGAAGAAGAAGAGGTCAGAAAGCCGTCGTGGATGGAGCGGATAGAATTTAGCTGAGAAGTCAATATTCGTAGTGTATCGGGCCAAATTTGAGAATTTACGCCGCACCAACCCATATCGCCGCAGAACTGTGTTGTGCGCGCAACACGTGCGGCGCCAACTGGTTAAAAATAAGGGATTACGATCAATGTGTGGTTACTCAATCAATATGGAAACGGTGGAAACGCGAACATCGCAAGCTGGGCGTCAGAAATAGATCAGCGAAGGCAGATCAGCAATCAACAATCAATTTTGCTCGCAGTAGATCCTCAACATGTAAGGAGCCGCAAACAAAAGCGAAGAAAGAGAAAAGTAGATCAGAAACTAGGTGACGGGGGAGCGCGTGCAGCTGCAAGCTAGCGAATGGTGAAAAGTTATTCAAAGTACAATGGTGAGGCAGCCGCTAAGTAGGTGAAGCCTACTAAAATAATAGAGCTGCCAAAAAAAGTTAAGAACAAAAACCTGATCCGGAGATTACGCGACGGCGGTGTTCGGAAGGGAGGCGAGGAGACGTTCAGAGTAATGGCATAATAGGAAGACGGATGGCTGGCAGAAACAGGGCGGAATGGCCACAAGTGGCGATAATGGCTATAAATTTCTTGAAACAACCGTTTTCTCGGCAGAATATCATTTGTCAACGAGACTAAATAACACAGGTGACGATGTCCCCCATAATCCCAGTATATATAATGCGCTATCGTCTGTCGTCTGTGTGTCTGTCTGTCTGTCACGAAATTCCCTAGCTCCTCGGGATCCGCCTGGAGGGACCGGGTCAAGTGTGGGATGGGTGGGCAAGGTCTCGAGAAGTACAAAACACACATCAGCTAAGCGGAGCCCCGCCCACAGTGGGCGTGGCGTGCGTCGAAATGAGTGGTACTGAGACCAGGATTTCAGTATACCAAAACAGCCTCGAAACTGGGGAAAAAAGTGGGTAAGGTGTGCATTGGTAAGTCAGATCGAATTGAGGAGACCC